GCAAATCTGCCAATGAATGATATAGTTTGAGCACAAAAATTGTAACCATTAATTTTGAAAACCTTAAGTGAAATTGCATGTAATGAAATTGTATTCTTTTCATTAAAAATTTAAAGGAGGTAAAATATGATGTCTTTTGTCAGAGTGTCTAAAATGTTTGGGATTTTTAGTTAAGTAAGGGAGTATTAGTATATTTTTCAACTTACGTTCCTATGGAACCTTAAGGAATTTCTTGGCAGAAATCTGATATGTTTTGTTTGCTAGATATAATTAAAAGAAACAGTACTTTGGCTTGCTGTTCTATGTGAATTTTGTTTTTTATTGTTACATAAATAAAAAATGGTATCTGTGTAATAGAGTTCACAATCTGAATGCTCTTGTGTGTTCAAAAAAATTCAGATTGTTCATAGACCTTAAGATCAGATCATATATATGGTACTTGTAGCTCTTCCAGTATGGGTAAGTGAATGGCCTTGCCTATGGTGTTCCAGCTACTCTCATTTTAATTTTTATTTATTTTTTGGTACAAGGGATTGAACCCAGAGGCATTGGCCCACTGAACTATGTTCTCAGCAACTTTTACTTTTTGCTGACTAAGTTGCCCAGACTGGCTTTAGATTTGTGATCCTCTTGTTTCTTCATCCTCTAGAGTTTCTGGGATTTCAGGTGTGCACCACCATGCCTTTCTCTAATTTTAATTTTTTGGGGGAAGGGGTACTAGGGATTAAACTCAGGGGCACTGGACCACTGAGCTCCATCCCCAGCCCTATTTTGTATTTTATCTAACACCTTGCTTTTGCTGAGGCTGGTATTGAACTCATGGCCCTCCTGCCTCTGCTTCCTGAGCCACTGGGACTACAGACTTGCTCCATCATGCCCAGCTCTAATTTTAGTTTTTAAAGCCTCAAACCATGAGCAGTATTATCCACCTACCCATGATGAAAGAGTCAACAGGTTTTTACCTTACATCAGGTTGGGATGTGATAGCACCTACAAAATGACTGAAACCCCATTTACATTTTGAAAACTTTCTTTTTTAAATTTATTAATTTTTGATAGTATCTGTATCAAAAGGAAAGAGGAAATCATAATTAGAAGGTATATATTGGATTTAATGTATTATTCTCACTTCTAGATGTCTCTTTTTCACTTAGTCTTCAAAATTCTCCAGTAAATTAAAGGCATTTTCTCTACTAAATTTTTACTATGATAATGACTTTAATTTTCTTTTACTTTTTAGGTCACCAAGAAAATAACAATTTCTGTTCTGTTAACATAAACATTGGCCCAGGTGATTGTGAATGGTTTGTTGTACCTGAAGATTATTGGGGTGTTCTGAATGAATTCTGTGAAAAGTAGGTTTCAGAAATTAAAGTTTCTTTTAATATCTGATTGTGAAAAAATGTTTTTTGTACCAGACAAAATACAAAGTCATAGAACTGCAGGATTTTTACTTTTTATTCAGCAGAAATTTTATTTTAAGTGACTTGATTTTAAATCAAAATATTTTTTGTTACATGGGATACTTAAAGATATTTAAAAAACAGCCTCTAAATTAGTAATAGATAAAAATTGAGAATAGAAAGTAAACTCTTTTTTTATGTTAGAGTTAAAAAATTGATATAAACATGTTTTTGATAGATGTGCTTTAAGGGAAAAATAGGCTTTTTATAATTATTTTTTTTAAATGTTAAGAACTCTAAAATAAATTGTTCTATAGCTTGTTAATAACTTAGTTTTGTGTATTTTTGTGAGTCAGCCTCATAACATTATTATCAGTGCCTCATACAAGGGACTCTCATTAGTTTTTCAAAGTTGACAGTGGAATTAGGGGGAAAAATCTATATTGTATATATACAACACATGATAAAATGGGACAGAAGCCTCATATTCATTCATATGTAAGATCTATTTTAAAATTAATTCAGATGTATATCACACAATAATTTTTTTTGTTTTGTTTTTGTTTTCTGTGGTAGGGATCAAAATCAGAGTTTCACACGTGATAGGCAACAATTCTAGTGTTGATAGACCCCAAACTCAGTAATTTTTTTAATTAAAATTTAAGTATTTTTATGTTTAATTGACAAAAAAAACTTACCATGTGATGCTTTAATACATGTGTGCATTGTATAATTTTCACATGAGGTTAAACATATCTATTTCCTTAAACTTTTTTTTTTTTTTTTTTTTTTTTTGGTGGGAGGATCCTGGGGATTACATTTGGGCAGTCAGCCACTCAACGACTGAACTACAATCACAGCTCTTTTTTTGTATTCTGTATAGAAACAGGGTCTCATTGAATTGCTTGGTGCCTAGCTTTAGCTGAGGCTGTCTTTAATATCCTGTATCAATCTCTCAAACTGCTGAGATTACAGGCATGTGCTACCACATTTTTTTTTTTTAAATTTACTTTTTAGTTGTAGTTGGGTACAATACCTTTTATTTTATTTATTTGTTTTTAAATGGTGCTGAGGATCAACCTAGGCCTCACACATCCTAGGCTCTACCGCTCATCCACTACCCCAGCCCCTACACATTATTTCTTTTGGCTGAAAATATTCAAAATTCTTTGTTTTAGATTTTTGCTTGTATTTTTACTTACTGGACAATCTAAATAAAAAACATGTTTTATTTGGTAATAAGTGCATTTTAGTTTTTTTAAAAGATAACTTACCCAAAATTTCCATCTTTTTTTGTTTGTTTGTTTGGTTTTTTGTTTGTTTGTTTTATTTGAGGTGGACACAATATCTTTTTTTTACTTTTATGTGGTGCTGAGGATTGGACCCAGTGCCTCGCACATGCCAGGCCAGGGCACTACCACTTGAGCCACATCCACAGCCCCCAAATTTCCATCTTTATTTATTTATTTTTGTATGATTTTCTCGATGTAACAAAAAATTTTCAGAGTTTAAAAGTTAGCAGCAAACGTTTTAATCTGAACTGTTTTTTAGCAGCAAACTGGAAATTTAAGAGAAAAGTGTCATGGGAAGGTCCAGTGTACTAAATAAAGAATTTCTTGATATTACTATACATATTTTTGTATTTGTTATCCTTAAGTTGTGATTTTATTCATTATTTCTGAGTTGAAACTGGATTATTGTTTTCTTTCATTTTTGTTTAGAAAGGTGTCCTTCATTCAAAGATAGTTGAAAACAAGTGATATTCAAAAAGTTTTGAACTTGGAATAACAATATCAATTTTTTTGTGAAATGATTCACTTATTTTAACTGTCTCAAAGTTAAAATGATTTATTTACCTTAAGTTGCAGAAAGTAGATGCCTTTTGTACAATTTCACTCAAATTTTATTTTTCATGTGGACCAATGCTGCTGAAATACATAATTCATGTAGTTTGTTGCTCTACATATAAAACTCAAGTATTTTGATTTTCAGTCCATTTGTCTTAATTGTGTTAGTTTTGTTTCTTCTCCTCCTCCCCTCTTCCTTCTTAACTAAAAAATATTTTTTCTCTAGTTTTCTTCAGTTTCAATTTGTAGTATATGGGTAAACTAGGGGTAAGGTTTATTTGATACTTATAGCTTTTTTTTTTCTTTTTGTTTATTTACTTTTTGAAAAGTCTTGAGAAGTATGAAGAAAACATGATTTTTTTTATCCTTCATTTGTTAGGGTCTTGTAGACGCACACTAGTTTTAGAAGGAGAAAAGGAGGAAAATAAGTATCTATGTCAACAAATCATCTTTTATCATTTTAACAAGTGCTGTTTCTTATATCTTAACGTTTCTAATGTATACATTTCTTCTTGAGAAAACTTAGTTTGAAGTAAAGTATATCATCAAATTCTTTGTGAAAACATCAATGTAAATAAAAGAATCACAACAGTTATATTGTAATGAAGGAGAGTGATAAAAAAAAAAACTAGACTTCAAAATTAAGCCTTAACTATCTATGCATGGTGACAATGATTGAAATCCCAGTGACCTTTAGGAGAATCATAAGTTGAAGGCCAGACTCATCAACTTAGCAAGACCCTGTCTCAAAAAAAAAAAAAAAATCTATAATACAGAAGATCAATAGAAAAAAGGGAAGGAAATGGGAAGGAAGAAGTGAAGCAGAGGGAAGGGAAAGGGAAAAAACTTGGGTCTGAATTAGAACAAATTATATGCTATGCTTTTCTGATGATTTAATATGAATCATATACATATATGATTCATTACATATATTATATATAACTAAAAACAGCCAATATAAATAAGTAAACAAATAAATAGCTGGGAGGATATGATTCAGTGTAGAGTTCCCGTGGGTTCAGTCACTGTTACCAAAACACTTAAAAAAGAAAACATCCCTGAATTCAATCCTCAGTGTATTTAAAATAAATAAATAAACCTTATATGTACATATATGTGTTTCTTTTGATAGTTTTACTCAACAACTTCATTTTAGTCAACTAATTGCTAAGCCCACATAGAGATACCTCTTTTTTGCTTATATTTTAGAACAGTTAGAAGACGACTCTCACTTCAATTTTGTCTTAGGAATTAAAGGAAATTCTAATCCTTTTATCTGTAATATTTTGGTTCTGATTTTAAATGACTTGATATAATCCTCATCTTCTGTATTATAGAAACTAGATATTAAAAGTTTCTTCAGTTGAAATGAAGTTAGAAGTTGTTCTATTTTTAAATGTAACTTTAACTTTTAGGTGTTTGAATAGTAAAATAAAGATCATAGTCATTAATGTTTGCCCAAGTCAACCAATACTCACATGCAGTTAATTTTTCGAAATATGGATTCTATCACATTGAAGTGTTCACTTTTAAAAAATGCAGTTCTCTTTACAGTGCTTGTGCAGCTCAACTCTTTAATGAAATAAATATGAATTTTTTTAAAACTTTTAAAATTATTTTCTGATCTTTGATGAAAAATAATTCTTTGTATTATTTATTCCCCCTCCCCCAGAAATAATTTGAACTTTCTAATGAGTTCTTGGTGGCCAAATCTTGAAGATCTTTATGAAGCAAATGTTCCAGTGTATAG